ACCTCAATCCCGAATTCTTTCGATGAAAAATGTCCAAGAATACAATGACGAATCTTTAGACCGAAGCCCGAGAACAGACAGTCGAGATTACCCCCTATTTTCTTAGGAAATCGATACACCACTACAATAACTTGTTTTTTAAGTCACGCAATTGCTCCAATTTCTGGTGTCTTCATAAGCGTGTGCCTATCGATACCATTATACTTCCTCGCTCCCCAGACGAGGGGACATGACTCTACTCCAGAGTTGCAAAGTTCACTCCAACGGTCAAGTTAGTTCAACAGAATACAGCTAAGCAATGTCAGACCAAAATTTAGCAGATTTTAGCATGTAAAATTAGAAAGAAAAAAAAACAGTAAAATTTTCGGTTAGTAGTTCCCCACACACAGTCTCCTACTACAGATAGGATTAGAGAAAGGGACATTTTTCAACCTTGAGATTTAGTTAAGAACTTTCGTGCAGTACACGGCGACATAAGACATAAGATTGTATTGGTCCTCACTAGAGTCCCTTTATACTGAGAGTCAAGACAATTCGGCTCATGGATGTCACAAACGGGAATAAAGATTACAGAAATCGAACGTTTTTCGTAATCTTTGATCGGCCCATTCCCAAATGCCTTTCTCCGTTCCTCCTCTCATTCCGTTTGTTCCTTGCCGAACCCGTAATTCCCTGGTCTATTCCAGATTATAATCTTTGCAATCGGTGAAAATGTAATCTTGATTCCCGTTTGTGATACTGTGGAGGCCTAAAATGCGGGAACCAATCAGAAATGGATTCAAATTGTCTTGACTCTCAGTATAAAGGGACTCTATTCCTCACTAAGCGAGTTGCCATCCATTTAAAAATGATTAGTACCGCGGGTCATCCATAAAAAGAATTTCTTGTAGTTTTTGACAAATGAACGGAGTGATGAAGCTAAGCAAAAATGCCTTTTAAGTGAAAAAAATAATCCTTCATTGTTCAAAATTTTGAAAATTTGCTATAGCTGAGCCAAAGTGTCAAGATTAAGGTTGCCATATTTTCGTTTCGCAGAAACTGCCACGTTACGTTTAGTGTGCGATTTGACTCACGTTGACCAATGTGTTTTCCCGAGCGGGAGTTAGAAATCACGCGTAAAGGAACCTTCAATATTTTGTTTAGGAGTTAGTTTCACACAGTGAAAGACACAGTTTCAGTGCTGCACCAAACAGCGTATCTCTTTGAGGGAAAATTGTGGTCATATGAGCTTTTTCCCCCCGTGTTAATATTTTCAGATGTATGCTGATTTTTAACGCACGTTGGCTAAAAAATTCCAATTTACTGAGTTATTTCCAGTAATTTTTGTTGCGCAAATTGTGCCCTGGGGGAAATTTTGATTCAGAAACATGTATTGGAATTGCGCACCTTGTCTTATGCTCCATTTCCAGCGGTATTTGACCCCACTCTTAAAATACTCTCTGTGTGCGCTCTTGACCTTGCCAGCCCAGTTTAGTGAAGGCGTTCTTCAGCTCGGGTAGGTGGTGTCCTCCCGAAGCTGAGCCGCACAGTGGATCGAATCAAGGGGAGAGGTCGGACACACTTTGGAAACTTTTAAAGCTAATAACTCCGTTCATACAAAACTTTGAGCTTTTAAAAATGGTTTCATTAGTTTCCTTGTGACATTTCCTTCCAGAAGCAACCATTAAAATTTAAAATGTGCCGAATTGAACATCAAAATTTGCAGTTTTACACTGAGAAAAAAAGTTCGGTGAATCCGAACTAGTTTGGTTCATATGGAACCAAGATTTTGTTCGGTGCACACGACCGAATTATTTGGTCTGCTCAGCCGAACTTTTCGGTCCACTGAACCGAACTGTAATTGTTCGGTTTGTACCGTTACAACATACATACAGTATATGTATGTATGTATACAGTTTGTGTCGGTAATGTGTCGGTTGTTGTTGTTGTGTATTTTGGCTGATTAAGTTGTTCCTCGTTCTGTAATTGTTCGGTTGCACAAACCGAACAGTTCGGTTGAACAGACCGAATAATTCGGTTGTGTGTACCGAACAAAATCGTGGTTCCATATGATCCAAACTAGTTCGGATTTACCGAACTTTTTTTCTCGGTGATAGTAAAAAATGTCATGTTCGACCTCTCCGATTGGCTCGATCCACCGTGAGCCGGCGGAGACCCCCGCTGGAACTGTGCAAGTATGCGTCTTAATTATTAAAAGTGCTCCGAATCGATACTGTAGAGGGTGTACGTGGACGAAGGTCGGCCTGCGAGGGAAATTGATGGCTGTCCAGTGTCCACCACGTCGGCGACGAGACGGTAAGGAATCAGATTCATATCGCGCGAGTCGTGAGTAACGATTTGTATCACGTGTGTATCGACCGCGCCGGACTCTCGTTGCACCGATTTAAATGCATGCTCATGCATAACCAAGTATCGCCGTCTTTGCATCGCGCTCTCTCTCTCTTCGCTTTCCTTTCTCTCCTTTCGCCCTCTTTTTCATTCGATGATAGCATTTCCTCAGCTCGACGAAGCTCCGAATCCAATGATATAGAAACTAGCAATTTATCGGTTTAATTTTGTCCCGGCCAATACCTATTCCCCAGGACCAACTTAAGTTCCTGTTTCCATCTCAGCCGATAAATATTTACCGCGGCCTGGCCTGGGACACCTGGAACAATTAAACTGTACATTCTGACTCTGCCTCAGAGTTCGACTCACCCATAGGATTTAATAATCCGCAAGTTAAAATGTATATATAGTCTAGTTTAAGTGTACTTCTAAAATGTAAATTACTTAATACTCTACGTAGGCGTAATTCAAGAATAAATTCAAAAAAAAAAATAAAAGAAAAATTCCTATTCAACAGAACTCATCACAGCACTCTTAAGCTGCGAGGTTGGATGAATCAAACAACCATAAACGGGAAAAAAGGATCACAATCCGAACTAAACTCCTGGTTGACTTTGGTGCGAGCTACAAGAGTAGTTGCACCAATCAAAGGTACGATTGAGTCTACCGAAAGTGTGGTTGGATCAACCATACCTCTGGCCAGAGCAACTACTCCTATATCTTGCGTCCAAATCAGCCAGGAGTACGGTTGGGATTGTAGCAATTTTTTTCAGAGTAAGCCGAATGAACTAAATTTTGCAATTAGGAACAACAGTTACTAGCACATACGAGCGACCACTCATGTGCATACGGGAACTAATAGTACATACGTGGTTTCTAAACTGAGCCAAATAAAGTAGTTCCAAATCCCACAACGAGGTTTAAATGATGCATTGTTTATTTTATATCTTGGGAATGTCGGTTCCAACCCGAGAGACCACTTTTCTCGATCATGTTTATCATTTTCAGGGGGTGCAGTGAGCAACGTACCCCGATGTTTCGGAATTCGTACATTATTATTTATTAAACATTCCATCACATTTTTATCGTATCCGAGATATTGCGAACAAAATGGGTCGGTGATGTTCATTTCGGTCATCCAAGAATAAAAAAGAAAGCATACGCGATTATGCAGCTAAGAATTGAATATTCGAGGAAACTGTCAAGAAGCTGAGCTCATTTTGTGATCAAACCAGTTTACTTAAGGCGAATCCAAGTTATCGTGCGTGACTTTTAAGTAGTTCCGTCAACGATGGGAATATTTAATACTTCTACAATGATAATGGAATCAGCAATGCGACAACTTTGTTCTGAAATACAAGAAAACTTTTAGTGCCCTCATAATTTTTGCCCCACCCTCCTCCCCCACACAACTGAAAAATAAATTTAGCCGGCTGTACTTTAAAAATAAAGACAGTTTATGTCAAGTAGTGCACCTTTATAGGAGAGCGGGGGAAAAAAGGCACTGGAGAGTTCCATGATTTACAAGTCCCACAGCAATTTAAGAGTTTCACCTTATAATCGAGATGATGGTAGGTAAAATGTAAAATTAACCTATTCATGTTTGATTATTTATTGATAGCTTGTGATTTTTCAGTGTTGAAACTCGCAACCCTTCAACATTGCTAAAAGGGTAAGCATGTCTTCTGGAACATTTAATTTTCGAATACTCCAAGATTTCATCCCTTCCTTAAACATAACTTCCCGGAGGTATTGCCCTCCGCTTGATCAGTATGTTGGAGCGCAGACAACCGATTTCTTTTCTTTGGGAAACGGATAACATTCAGAGGAGTTTGCTTATCTACACCTCTGTGTTGACATGTGGGGTATATTATTATCTGACTCGGGATGCGTGTCAAACTTTAGATAGAATTTCCCCAATCATGGAACTGTCAAAAGTTTGCGAAGATGGTTCAGCGGTACACTCAATATGTCTGCACAAATATCTCAGTGTATGGTCTCAAATCAATAAATTTTTGAGATACTCGAATGCTGGATCTCATTTATGAACGTATTTCTGTCCAACGGAACTATGTGCATTGAGATATGAGCCTTGAGACCCATAAGAATACGTGCATAACAGGGCTCACGTCATAATGCACATAGTTCCGTTTGGCAGAAAGACGTCCTCATGGGAGGAATTCAATTTTGTCCGGACTCTCCTCTTGTTAAATGCAATCAAGAGAGTCAAATTTTAAAAAATGAACCTGTCCCACGACTTGCTTCCAGCTTTTAGATAACTCGCTTTCGACGAATTTCTCATAATTTCCAACTTTCATTCCTGATGGTGAGGTATTTAAATTTTGGAGCGGCTCTCCTCTTATAGATTTGAAAATACCAATTATGTATGCTTTTGAAGGGGGGGGGGGTAAAGATTCCGGGGAGGGATTTTAAGGGCACATGTGCAGGAACGTATAAGTTGCCTTAAATATTTCGAGAGCTTCTTTGATAAAATTTTGGAGGAAAGCAATCGCCTTCATGAACATAGTTATATTTTTTCATTTATACAATGAATAGTTTGGACAAAATTGTGTACACATTTTGAAATCCGAGTGTAAAATGTCGATACGATCAGTCACTCTCTGGTAAGCAGCACCTGTTGGAACATAATTAAATGAACTTATGAAACTCACCCGCACTCTTGTAAAATGTGCTAGTTGTAATTCACTCGGACAAAGTTCGTTGACTTTTCAAGTGTCAGGTCCGATTATCCGCAGGCAAAGCGTTTGCTTACTGGTACAGAGAACTAAATTGTCTTTAATTATGACAGTTGGACAGCTTGGTCCTTCACTAAGTAGGAAAAACGACTGCGCATCAACGCGGAAGTATTGTAAATCTAGAAACTTTGTGTAATCAAACTGAAACGAATCGCACGAAAGAACTGTTCAATATGTAAGAACACTGAGTCTTGCGAGACCAACAACGAATCAAAGAAATACACAAAACGAACTTTTATTTTGCCGTCAAAAAGGATGCAGTTCCTAACCGAGAATGTCTTTTGTATAAAATTGAACGCAAGTAGTGAAACAAGTAGAGTTAAAAAAGAGGAAAATCACGTAGAAAAATTCTGGAGTAGAAATATCGGTGGCAGGATGAAGTTTTCCCGAAAGGAGACCTGTTCAGGCACGTTGAACGGAGCTGTTTTGGCGGGAAAGGGACACCGCGCGACCTTTGACGAAAAGTGGGGTTATGTTTACTCGGTCGGGAATAAATACGGCCGGTACGCGAGGGGGTGGCCGAGGGGGCGGGGGCGGGGGTGGGCTCGGCGCAGCCGGGCGGGAAGTAGGATCAAGAGCGAGGGAGGAACGACTGAAAAAGAGCGCGTGTAAAAAAAGCGAGGAATCAAAGTGACGCATCAACAGAGTTTGGGAAGAGGGTTTGGAGTCGGTTGCGAGCCAGGAGGGTGGGCGCGTGGTGCAAGTGCCGGTATTTACGCGATACTAAGGCGTCCGCAGGTTCACCTGCTCGTCAGGACGGCTGGCCGGGCGCCGCGGCGCAGCACGGCGTCCGCCCGTCCTCTTCTTGCGCGCCGCGACCGACGCCGCGCGGAGCCCGCGTCGGTCATTCTCGGAGCCGCACACAACCGCGACGTCGAACACGACGCNGGGGGGGGGGGGGGGGGGGGGGGGCTGCAACCGGAGGCCCCGCACCCCTACATCATTTTCCGCGGTAATTGACAAAGTGTACGTGAGCAAGTATGTGAAACGCGGCTCGGAGGGCGGGCGGCGGGGTGAAAGAGCTCAATTTAGGGGTAAAAATAACACACTCCAGCTTCTTAAAGCTCATCTAATCTTGTTAACGGAAAGGGGTGGGTCGCGCTCGGATAAAGGAGTGCGATGAAAATCCGGAATTTCCACCTCCTCGGCCGGATGCGCGGAGCCAGCGGAGTCATCTACCGATCTTCCTTCGCCTCGGTTCCCTCGGTGTAACAAAGGAGACACTTAAAGAAGGAGAAAAAAAACAGGTGCCAGGGATCGGGTGTTCATCATCGCGTCCAATTTCTTCCTCCGCGCTTCCGTCGGATTGGTATCGGATGTTCTTTTCGGAGCGAGGGAATAAGTGATTCTAGAATATCAATCATCCGCATTAGATACTCCTTTCTTCATCCGTATAAAAAAACCAAGGAGGGTGGACGGGCAAGAAATACAGATAGCCATTCAACAGGGTCGCCGCTTTGCGGGCTTTCGAGCTAGGATCAAATATGATGGGAGAACTTAGCCGAAACATTTTATACTGTCAAGATGGATCCTCAAGTTGGGTGCAATGCGTTCTTATTGCCCGATCGATAGATTTCAATTTGAAGAAATTATTTTGGGAATATCGGAAAAACAGAATTTAGAGCTATTAATAAAAAAAACATACTCTAAAAAACGTAATTCAAGATCCTATTGCGGTGTCAGAACTACTGCTTTCAGCTAACCATTGATATCAGTGCATCGAAATCGGTAACTATTTTTCAATATACATGAAGGCTTTGAGATTTCAATTATTTTCAGAAATTTTGAAAATGATCGATCTGGATCTATAGACAGGCATTTTGATTTTTCAAAGGATTTGGTCCTCGCGATGTATGGCTATGATCTTAAATATATTGAAGCGGTGGCGATGAGTGGAACTAAAAGGTGAACAGCGACCCCAACACGTTTTGGGACTCGTCACTTGATGAGCCATTTCATCTGGTTAGAATCGAAACGTATGTTCAACACACCATAAACATCTTTTCCAGAGATATGACCTAAGGCAACTGAACGCACGGAAACGAGTATTTGTTAATAAGGGTTGTCAAGCTGATCAGTTGAAATTGATTCGTAATTACGAATGACATTGGTCCATTCAAATACACATTCCACTCCTTTCAATAAAATAAAACAAAACAAAACAAAACGAAAAAAACAAACAAACAAGTTATGGACGTTTTATGGAATTGAAGTAATTGGAATTTTTATTTAATTACAGTGATTGAACTTTTTATTTAATGAAAAAGATTGGACTTTTTATTGAATTAAAGTGCCGAAATATTTCAGAGTATAGCAAGATAACTTCGATTCAAAATAAATGCTCATCAAAATGTTTCGTTATTCCATGCAGTCACGGTTTAGTTCAACCATTAGATCTAGGCCTCCACAATTTATTTGCTTCCTTTCTCTGTCCCTCCGGAATTGGCAGAATACATTTTCGTTCGAGGAAATTCTTAATCGAATGATTTTGCGGAGGAAAAGTGGTATTAGAGTGCCGGAAAAAGGAAGGATAATTGTATTAGGCTGTTGCATATGGGGCGTATAATGGAAGTAAAGCGCAAATTAATTTTGCTCGCAAGTAAGGAAATCGCGGGGAAGTTCTCAGGGAAACTAATTTTACGGTTTAGTTCATCACAAATACAGCTGTTTCATGCGAGCAGCACGGCACGGCTCTTGCGTACCTGTACAGAACGTGTAGTGTGAGCATATGCAGCACCATTTCGAAAGCGGCGAAATAATTAACTATACATTGTCCATTGTTCCCTATAAAAGTAAGCTGTACCTCTCTGTATGGTTACTGTGTTTTTAACGTCCGCTGAATGCACAATTGACTTCCAGCTAAAAGGTCCCCTTATTAAAAATTGATGCAGCTCCCACAAGAGTGCTCACCAGTTACAAATCTGGAGTTAACTCCGCTTCGCTTACACGATTTCCTCAACTTTTTACTTCATAATAAAATCTGCATGCTTTGTCGACGTGTATTTCGAGTTTTTGTCCCGTAAACAGGGTATATGTGCTTTGAGTTCGGTGCTCTGCCACTTTTTTTTTGTTGTTTTTTTTTGAAGCACCGTATAAACCGCTAAATTTTTGCAAACGTGCACTTTATATTTCGCCCATGAGAATTCTAGCCGACGTCCCTGTTTCTCGGTTTAATTTTACAAACACGGTCGTCGAAACAAAGCAAAGATTTCGGGCATTTCGTTTGGAGGTTGGAATTTTCTTCGGCGCACGCTTGTTAACATCATTCCAAAATGCGACATGCGGTCGAGGCTTCGGAAATGCAACTAAAACACAGCTTTTGCCTTTGTGTCTTTCTACGATTCGTCCTCTTTTTTAATCTAGCATCCGGCGATACCGCAAACTATTGGAAATCACAAGACGCCGGTCCGCGGTTGAAAAACGTGGTGGCCAGGACAGAGGAGAGCTATGAGGATTTAAAAATTGAATTTCCCTTTCCTCGAAGGATTGAATGACTTCACCTTGGACTAGAATACGCCTTCACTGAGAAAAAGAGTTCGGTGACAGTTCCTGAACTTCTATTCACACTGAACTCCGAACAATTCCAGTTCGGTGTTCAATATGTGAACTAACATGATACAATATGAACAATACATGAAATATACAAGTTTTGTATCTAGCTATTACCGAGCCTTTTTCTCTCGGAATACCTGAATGACAATATCTCTTTTAATGATGAGAGAGGCACGATCGAAATACCTTGATTCAACAATAAAATACGAGAAAAATACACTATAAAATACGTATGATGAGAGTGACTGGGAAAATGAACATGACCAGAACGTGTCAGGCAAATTACGTACCCATTCACAACTGAAACGAAAAGTAAAGTTGAATCGTTTAGTTCTTGGTATAATTTACAACTCCCTGCTTTCATTCAATTGAGAATGGGCATGTAACTGGCCCGAAACATCCTCGTTGAATTAATACTTTCATTTAGCCTTGTCCGACCCATGCTGTATTTTTCGTGTATTTTATGTACTCGAATGGAGTGAATATGATGCGCATCAGAAATAGACGTTCGGGTGTATACTGTGGTCACAAACGTCACGTAAAATGCTAGAAAAAGTGTATTATAAAAAAATCACTTTAATTTGCGAACAGAAACTTTTAGTCTCACATATTCGCACCCCATGCTCCTAAATGTATAGATAATGTACATTATGGCAGCCGAAACATAGATATAAAATAGGACAAGAAGAAGCGGGGATGAGGCTGAAAAAACACAATAATTTACAAATGAAATAAATGCAGTATAATGCACTTAAAATACAATAATTTATAATTTGTAAATTATTGTGTTTCTTCAGTCAACAGAGAATAATTTACGAAGATGGCGTTTGATGTTTATAAAAGAGAATAGACCTGGGAAATTACTTTTGGTTGAATTTTCGGTTATATCTTCCTGGTCCTCTCCGCTAGTGGCGATTTTGCAAGTTGATAAAATTGTTCTCTTCTTTTTGAATCCATTAAAAATATAAATTTTCATTCCTCACCAAGAATCGATTGTTCAACATACATTCAAATGGAGGAAAAACAGTGTTGCCGATTTTCAAGAATCGCCACAGCTCTTCGCCGACTGGGTACTACTATGAGGAACAAACTGACCTTCTCATCTTTCAATTCTCAACCTAATAACGTTATACAAAGTTTTGACATGTTCCCTGCTAACGGGAAAAAACCGAGGAAAACAGGATCCAAGGCTGTGGTATGCAATGTTTGTTGGTTCCTATAGCCCAGATCAAAACATTACTTTTCAATATAAAAAATATTAAGTGCATGTCGTCAAATTTAGTGGTCTAACTCTACTTTCCCACTCGTTGCATTCCCATTCCGGCGAAATTTGGCAACTCTGCGACTATCGGTGCACCGCACTTTGTGATCGATGAGCGAGCCGACCTTGCCGCATTTCATAACGCGTGAAACTCCTTCATCCAATCCAATATATTACCCGCGCGTTGTTGCCAAATCGGTGGGCGAAACGACGCATTTCGCTAAAAAAAAAAAAAAAAAAAAAACACCTAAAATCACCGTATTTATAAGCTGACCCTGGATTTTTTCTCGTAAACGGTGATACATAACTGATTCTATGTGCACCAACAGGAAACTCCTCTGAATATTTTTAACTGGTAAATAGAGAGCGCATAAAACGTCTAAATAGGCATTGCTCACTGCCATTGAGACAGCCTTCAAGTCGGCGATTACGCAACATGCCCGAACAGACGTTGAAGTAGTTGCCTATCTAAGCAAGCCCATCAATTTAAGCCTGTTGAGTGATACGACTCCTTTGCAGGAACTGCAGGGTGTACAAAGCTCGTCAGATAGAGGGAGCCCCGGCCGTGTAACTTTGAGTTACGGAAGAGAGAGAGGCGGTAAAGCCCAGTTTTAAGCAACCATTTATATCTGAAGAATTGCAACATTTTTCAATGAAAAAGATTTTTCAGCCTTTGATCTGAACCCTGTGGAAATTAAAAAGGAGGATTTAGCCAGAGATAATCCTGGCTTTTGTTACGAGGAAAAGAGTGGAAGGGTCAAAACCCGGGAAATGGTTTTTTTTTTTTTGTGATATGGGTTGAGATGACAGATCGAGCCCATCGTAAAAAATGTGCATTTAGGGCATCCATTTTGATGAGAAACAAGAAGCTTGTTGATCGACCA